CCTCAATACATTCCTCAATACATTCCTTATCAAGGTTTCTTGGATTTATTATTAACTGTAATTCTAATATTTTTTTATTCATTTAGTACATAGTATATTGGGAGTAGGGCTGCTCAGTGCCGCAGTGGGTAGCACTGCTGCATTGCAGCAAGATGGTTCTGGCCTCAATTCCCGGCCTGGGGTCTTTCTGCATGGAGATGCATGTTCTCCCTGAGCATGCATGGGTTCTCTCCGGGTACTCCAGCTTCCTCCCACAGTCCACTAACATGACTGTTAGGTTAATTGGCTTCTCTAAAAATTCTCCTTAGGTGTGAGTGAATGGTTGTATGTCCTGTTTGTCTCTGTGTTGCCTTGTGATGGACTGGCGACCTGACCAGGGTGTACCCTGCCTCTCGCCCTTTGACAGCTGGAGATAGGCACCAGCACCGCTTGTGACCCCAATTGGGACAAGCGTGTCAGATAATGGATGGATGGATATACTGGGAGTACAATAGGGAAGTTATATTAACCTTCAGATATTAAAGTCTCAATGTGACAGCATAGCAGCATAGGTTTCCTGTGATGCTGGTTGTCAGTTACCCTTTATAATGATTCAATCCAAATGTATGATCTGGTTAATTTGTCTCTGTAAAGTGCCTTGAGATGACATGCGTTGCAAATTGGGGCTATATAAATAAACTGTTTTGAACTGGATGAATGTTCAATGCAACATTATGGCAAAAACAGTTGTTACTGCTGAGATAGCGATCACATTTCCAGATACATTGCAGGGGCTGCTCCCAAGAAACGTAGACAACCAGAAAATCTTCCAGTTTGCAGAGCTCTAAAGGAGAATATAACAAAGGAGATGGCTGAATTTTTTTACCGCAAAAAAAAAAAAAAAAAATAGAGAAGTTCTTACACTCATGTGCAAGAGCACCTAGATTTAGGACAGATCAAAATGACTTTATAGAAGTTTGTGTATGTGTGTGTGTGTGTGTGTGTGTGTGTGTGTGTGTGTGTGTGTGTGTGTGTGTGTGTGTGTGTGTTCTTTTTTATATTAGTTGAACCCTCTGTTTTAGGAAGCCCAAATACTGCAATTTTTGTTCGAAACAAAAAAAAATTATCTGTTCGCCTGTCAATTGGTTTGTTAATAAAATCTTTATAACTAATCTAGAATGTTCAATTGTACTTGAGGTATTTTGAAGTACTAATGACACAGCTATGCTGTCATGACAGGCAAAGTTAAGACTAACAACAAATTACAGGATACTGTAATATTAACTCACAAAGCGAAATAACATTTTTAGGTATGATAATTAATATCCATTATGACATGTATGACTGGTTATGAGCTCTTGGTTGATGTTTCAACAATTAAATTTTAAACAATGTCAACTTTTCTTTAAAAGTGTCATAATTTACCAAATGACACCTAATGACAACATGGATAAT